ATGGCTATGCAGATGAAAATGACTCACCTATTCTAGACGCATTTAAACTACCCGTAAGTTAATCGTTATTATTCGTAGTGATTTCATTTTTTATCTATTTTCAATTCAAATTCAATATAGCTCCTTTAAGATTGGCTGTGCTTTTTGCCTGTTTGAATGCCTCATGTCTTATAAGTTCTAGAATGTATTTATTTATTTCAAATGGCAGGCGTTTTGATAGCTATCATTTGCCCTTCAGTTGACTTCGGGCTTCAAAGAGGGAAGGGTCATCAAAGTAGCAGAAAGTCGAGGAAGGGGAGCAGAAGAGCGATTCACAGATGTAAAAGAGGCAGACAGACACAAAGGTAGAGAAAAAGGCAAGATGAGTGCTGTTGAAGGGGTTGAATAGGACAAGCAGTCGGGCTATGGTAGTTTGAAGTGAGAAGTCAACTGCCGGTTAATAGACCTTTTTGCCGTATGAGTATACGTTGCCCAGGGTGCACCACGTGGAGGTAAGTCTATCGCACACCCCAAGTTCTAGAATGTTGGTGGTTGGAGTAATGAGTATTTTGAACTTACCTCGACTATATGATTAAGCATATGCCCTTGTCCTCCTTGATATTAGTAGGATTCGCTTGCAGGCATTTTTACCTCTCCATTAGATTGGCTTTTGTCTTTTTTGAGTATAGTGTGGAGATCTCTTGCATTATACTTGTTTCCGAAATGTAAATTTACCTGATAGTCGAAGAGGATTCCTATTTATCACCCTTTGGCCTGGAATTAATGTGTATTTTGTGTGACGTAAATCTTCTCTCTTGACACGTTCTAGTCATCGGTATTAATTGAGTCCTAACGCTATCACCTCGTCATATTCTCTAGATTTGCCAAATTTTTCACGTTATTGTATATATATCTAGAAGGAAATATGCTTTAACTGTACATAATTATAAGTTTGATGGTCTGTGTACCCATAATTAAGGTTATACTCCTTCCCAACGACCGTTTTGTGCTGTACTGAGCAGAATTAATAATTGCCAGATGAGGTTTTGACTAAAATTTCTTGCAATTTTTTGTTCATTTAGGCCTGGGCTCCCTCCTTCTTCAACGATCCCAATTTCTACGAAAATGGCCTTTCTGCACCCTACGATAAATTCATTTCTCCTGTTAACAGCAACGCCAGCAAACCACACGCAACAAGTCCATACTCCTTCTCTGATCCATGGGGCTACTCATCAGAACCTATGTCGGAATCTGAATTAGCTCCTCTACCTCCTCCCTCTACCACAGTCCCCCCTCTCTTCGATTCTACCAACACCACCCTATTACTTCGAGGGTCAGTCAATGCTGCTACGGCGTCTTCTAGTAGCTATGCTATTAAACGCTCGGCTGCTGCAGCTCTCTCTGCTCGAAGCAGCGTTGGTGCGAGTGGAAGTGGCTCTGGTCCTCCGGCGAAGAGGAAGAGGCTGACTGGAGCAGCTGCGATGGCTGCTAAGAGATCGGCGAGTAATAAGGCTGCTGCCGCGGCGGCAGCGGCGGCTGCTGCTGCGTTGGCCAAATCGACGGTCAGTAGTAGTGGAAGGGTCTCCCATCTTGACAGTGAGTTTTGTTCTCTTTTGTTCTTTTCTGCCTTGCATGTTTGCCCATTCTAAATGTGCACATAAACACAGGTGTGTATTGCTTTTAAAGCCGTCGTTCTCTATGACGTCAGTATGGGGGGGGGGGCTGGGATTAGAGCAAAGATTTGTAATCTGTTGTTTATGCTAATTGCTTATGTAAAAGAGTTTGTTTTATGAAAAATTGCTTTACTTTTGAATGGTGTTTATGTGTGCGAACTTTTCCAAACCTTGTTAATTTTCAATATTTCGCTTATCCTAAGTAAAATAAATTGCATGTCTGAACTTTGATCCTATCTTAGCATGAGCGCTTCTCATTAGTATTTCCCTACTCTGTAGAAAGCTTCAAGCTGACCAGTAACAAGTTAGAAGGTAGATGAAAATGCAATTGCAAATAGAGGGATTCGTTGATCTTTGGTGCACAACAAATTTATCTGAAACTGGTATCAGCTTTACCAAGGAGAAAATCACCTTTTTGTGGCTCTTGACTTTAAAATAGGTGGAAAAGTATGATTAGAAACTGAAGAGGCATACATTTTCTGGGTGTTTATACCATCAAGAACCATGTTATCTTCTGTCTAGACTGTTCTATTTGATTTGTGACTTAGCCGTATTTGACGTCATTCAAATGTAGTTCGCGCCCAATTTATGGAAATGTTATCACGCAAAGATCAGCTGGCATTAGCGTCAGCTGTGGCTGTATATTAGATGCTACACATGGACGGGTATTATTTTCTTCTGAGATAACAAACAAACCACAGTTATGTGGGGTTAAAATTATTAAATGAATGGAGAAAACCGATCTTTAAGTTAGTGGTCTTCTTTCTCTCTCTCTGTGTCTTAGGAACTGTGATCGTATTTAATACTTCATAATAGTGGCTGTTTATCGTTATACCAGTGGCACTAAGTATATATTACCTGAATTTGGGAGGTTCTAAATAAGGTAGCGGGATTTCTTGCCTAACGATCGCCTTTCTTTCCAGCCTATGTTATATTTGCTTTCAATAGAATGCAGATTGTCTTCATTAAGTGAGAAATGAAATCTGCTCTATTTAGCAGTGCCCTGGCTTTGTAAGTGTGTACATTGCATGTGTAAGCACACACACACACACATACACACACGCACGGAGACCTGTGTTCATTGTTCGGTTCAATTTATTTAAGGACAAATGGTCAAATTTAGGCCAATGGTTGTGATCACGTGGTTATCAGCTGATATTTACCCTGTCAGTTTTCAAGGCTTACCTTGGGGATATAGTTACAGAATACTACGAATACCAATATTACTGAATATTCGTTAGTTCGCCAAGAACTTCAAAATACAATTCAACACGTCTCTTTTATCTTAATCGCACACTCCAGATCCTGTATTCTTAAGTCGATGAAAATGTTCCCTTTTGGTGAAAAACCTGTTTTTGTTGGATCTCGATAATTGCCATTAAATATTACCCTAGTAATGGCTTTTCACTAACAATAAGATGCACTTTTACTACTTATTTGTAATGAAATAAATAGCATATTATGAATATAGTCCACCCAATCAACAGGCGTTTCGTGCTTACAATTCCTCATCTTATTTATCTGGTTTGGTGAGGAAGTGGATGAAATAATTTTATCTATCGACCTTTCTAAAAGGGTCTTTGATGAATAGGTTTTAGCGCTTATCCCTGTTGTAGGTGATGAAAAATCTCTTCCCGCATCTGCCACTCACGATCGATTAGAAGCTGCCACTGTACCTGCTGGTCCATCTACTTCCACCACTACCTCCTTCACTACCATCTCTAGAAATCAAAAGGCCTGTCTTCCACGCACCTTCTTCACTCGTGACGTTCGTGCCATCACTGGCAGCTCAGCCGCTGCTGCCTCACAGAGTAGTGGCAGTGGCAGTTTCGGGTCTTCTGCTTCCAGTAGTAGCTCCTACTTCACCCCCACAGCACGGTTCCGTAGAACCACAGCAGGAGTGTCAAATTTCTCTCGACTTAGTGGGGTTACGGGTGCCGCTGGAGGTGCAAGTTTGCCTGGAGGTGGAGCCGCAGGTGTTTACGCTGCATTGAATAATCCTCATCTCCATGCGAAATATGCACTGCCAATGATAGGAAAGTCGTCGATGGTGGCATCGGTGAATGCTATACCATCAACTCAAAGACAGGTACGAGTTGTTAGGTTATTGTTCTCCGCATTTTGTGCAAACTTGCATATTAGCATTTGTTGTTTACTTCACATAAATAGAAATTTTGGAGTTGGAAGTAAGTTTTTGCCTCCGTTTTTTGTCTAATTTCTCTCACTTAAGCTACTAGACGTCGATATTTTTAAGATTTCCCAGTTCATTAATATGAGCAAAAGCTCTTATATAAGCCATCCAGTTTTTTTGTGACGTTATGACCGGAGTGACTAGTTGTATCATTTATTACGATCTTAACTTTCGAGAATTTACTGTATAATTGAAGTCCCTTTACATCCATCTAAACTCCCTGTCCTAACTGCCACTTAAATGTTATTCATGTTAGATTCAGATATATCGCAAGGTAAGTCTGTTTACGTGTGCTCTAATACGTATCTATACTCACGTTTGCCGTTATTTTCATCTTACATCTTTGTTTTAATGTAAATAGCACCTTACTCTCCTAGACCTATTTAATCATATTATTGCAGTGTATTTTCCCACTAATATACTCAATTTTGTGAAGACGCAGTTGTCATTTTATTCTATCTTCTATTCATTTCTTACTGGCATCACAGAATTAATTATTTGGATACCGTAACTGTAGCAATATACGAAGATCTGTAGTTGAAAAAAAGTTGTCAAACCGCCTAATGTTTATTGCACAATTTGCACGTTCATCAACGCGGAAGTCATGAGATCGGTGCTCATCGGTGCATAGCCAGTGGTGCGATTGACTAATCCTGACCAGTATAAATTCGGGATATTTGTCCTCTACCAAAAATGTGCGCCTTTGACACTTTTCTTTCTTACTTATTTATTTACCTCCTCAGAGGCGTTAGATAAATGCGGATTGGGAAGCTTTCCTTGAATTTTTGAAATATATCAATCATTTTGTTAACGAGCCTTAATTACACCGCGTTTCGAAGTCTTGCAATGCATTATGGTTGAATTCGTTGGTTTACAGCTTAACTAGATCGTATTTAATGAACGTGCTTTTAAGCCAAATCCAACCTGTTTTCATTGTAATGTTAACCAGACGTCGTTATGGTTGATTTATTACCCTCAGAAATTGGCCACATTTCCCCCAATTTTAACAAATATGTTAATCTATCTATTGGTTAAAAATAAACTGTTAGTCAGTTTTATCCAATAATCATCGCCAGGCATTAAAATGGCCCGACTTTCCAAAAAAGTTGTTTGACAGTTTGGACAAAGCTGATCTAAAATCTGCAGCTAATGAAGCACGCTATTGTTCACCAGCTTCAGTCACTTTGCTCGGAGTTTGCTAATCAGTAGATGCATTGTCGGACTAATTGGTGGCTAAAAGTGAGCCATGATAAGGCCTGTTTAACACTTGCGTTTTGTGCCTTAAATTATACACGATCACACAAAATGTTAGTAATCAGCTGGTTTACAATTAACCAATCATTTTCTGGCGCTCTTTACGTAATGACCAATATCTGTTATATCTCGTGACCTTGGCTCTGTTTAATGCGCGTGAATTTCTCGTCATTTACTAAAATGTTATCTTAGAAAAATATGGGCTCTATAAACGCTCGTGTTCAACTATAGAATTTCAGGAAATCGTAGTATTTTTCTCCTTCTTTATACCGTTGGCTAAAACTAGGTTAAGTTAGCAATGCAAAGGTGTCGTGGCGTAGACGAGCGAAGTGAGAGTAATGGTAATCTTTCTATCGCAATACTGCGCAACGCTCAACTCTCACTCACCACTATCATTCCTACCCATGTGACCTTGTTAGTGACTTTGTCCCCTATTGGTCCGCGTCTCTCGTCAAAACATCCTATTTTTCACGCCTTGGTGCGTGCGTATTCGTTGTGTGTTTTTAGACGTAAACATGTGCCAATTACCACCCAGATGAGAGTATTGACTTTTTTCCTTTTTAGGCCATTCATACGGCTTCTGGTATCGTGTCCTTCAAGTTTGGATCGGCCGGTCATGCCAGCACCTCATTTAATGATGCCAAATCGCCAGAATGGACGCCTCTCGAAGAAGCTGCTTTACTCATGGTATGTGTAACTACTTATTCATAAATTCAGTAGCAGATAAGTTTTATGATTTATACTCCCTTCATTTGTCTGACTATGGTGTTTTTCAAGGGTTTTGACCTTAATCCGTGTTGCTAGGATGCCGTGTACATAACATTCATTGTTACGGTTGGGTTAATACCTACTAAATCACAATGGTGGGTTTTTTGAGGGACGTATAGTGTGCTTTATAATTAGGTACTTTCAGTTATTTAATTTCACTTTTGTTGCTTCCATTTGATATGGTCTAAAGATATTCCACAGAATGAACTACTGTGTTAAGACATTCGATATAAAATATTGAAAGCTCTGATAATTATTGTTAAATAATATTCCACTCTATCATGATCCTGTTGTTGTTTCCTGAACTAGCTGGTTCTGACCTGAAATACTCTGTTGCTTAAAATCTGTCCTCTGGTTCCCTATTTCTTCGTATTCCTTTGTTCAGTGACCCATCAGATGCTTGTATAAACTCTTTTAATTCATTCCTATATGGAATTATGTTTTGTGACTTATCGCAGTGGCGTGTGTTTTGAATACTCCTACTTGGATGACGTGAGCTGAAAATTGTCTTTGCTAGGCATTACCCGTCGCGACTTTCACTCCTTCTGGGAGCTCCATGGCCAACCATTCACCTAACCTACTTCTCTACCAACTCTTAATAGTCGGATGTGAATTTGAATGATTAGATGAACTGCTGATTTGCGCATATTACAATCAAGGGCTATTTGGATCAATGGTCTGGGAGCTGTTGGGTTTCGGAAGGACAGGTTTTATCACGGTGAAATAAAACGTCTAAATATTGTACGCCAACTGCCTGATCTAAAGTTTTATCTCGCAGTTTTAACGGTAACGTAAGTGATTGAAATGCCAAAAATCTTGGTGCTACTGTATCAAATTCCCTGTATAAATTTCCAAATCAGTCCTGATTGGTTGGTGTTGCTGCCTTTTCCATTAATAACTCGTAACCCCAGATTCAAAAATGTGTAGTCTTCGAACAGGTTGGCTACGATCATAATTAAAAGTTCGTTATGACTGCTTACTCAAATTATTGCCGAAGGAGACTTTCTAATGACAATTTGTTGTGATGTGTTGAGAGGCGTAAAGGTAACGTACGGCAGTGGCATCATTGTCGAAATAGTGACAAAGGGAAAGGATTATTTACAATTGACTGGTTCTCGGTTTATTATAAAAAAGGTGAAATGTGGTATGTTTTTGAGCAGTTGTCTGGTTTTATGTCCTTTGTGAAACCTGGCATGAAAATTGAGATGAACAGACCTGTTAAACATTTGGTACGTACTGCAGGTCCGTTGCCGATTTTCAAAACCTCCTGCCCTTCTCTTTATTAAGGACATCAGAGAATATAATCAATTTATTAATTGTGAAGAATCCAATTAAAGGGTGGATAAAATCTCTCAAATGTGTTAGCTCAAAAGCTATTTCCTACTTCCATGTTCTTCCTTTTTAAAGTAGTAAATTGTTAACTTTTTACTGTCCTTTTCCTTTAATCCTTCAAGTACACCAATAAGTTATTGGAGGCGCCCACCTCTACTACCAATTCCCACCATCATCATTCTTCGGGTTCCAGTACGTCTACCACCTCTTCGTCCGGTCTACGAGTGCCTAATTTCCGACTGGCAGAGCTCTGTCTCAATTCCTTTATTGCTATGCGCGCCTACAGAAATGCACGTCAGTGTCTCATAGCCTACTGTCGCATTAACTCTGTTGTTGTCAACTCGTCTCCCAACGACCTTCTACCTCATCCACTTGGAGATATTGGTAATTCCTTATTTCATCTATTTATCATGCTCTAGAGCAGCAGGTATTTTCGCAAGTCGTTATTTTGAAAGGGATATTTTAAACTAATATGTAATCGTCAATCGATCAAGCTAGAGTAAATTATATTCGAGCAAGTATTTGCATTGCTACAGGAGTGAAGAAAGGTTGGGGAATAAGGTAATGAGTTTTGTTCCATAAAATGAGAAACTGCTCATTTATTTTAAAAGGATCTGTTGAAAAAGGCTCATACTAAAACATGGCTCTAGGTCGGGGATGTCATTCTTTATAGCTAAACACAGAAAAGTTCACATACTCCTCTCCCACTCCCCGTCTTCTTGTGTTCTGTAGACAAAACGGGTCAACCTCAACACCACCACCAGGCACAACACGGCGTTGGTAGAAAGGTAAAGAATAAGATGAAGAGCGGTTTGTCCTCCACGCCTCTCGTCTCATCTTCGTCCGGTATTGCGCTCCATGGTGGTTCCTCTCTTGGTGTTCCTGGTGGGGCGGGAGATTCGCCGGATGCTGGTTCCACATCTGGTACTGTCAACAAACTTCGTGGATATCAACACTTCTTGGTGAGTGTATCACTCATAGTTGTTACAAGTATTATGCTGCACACCCAAAGTAGACTGTAATTTTGACTGAATTTAGAGCCTTTGATGGTATAACAATACCATTCTCCTCGACGTTGATGCACAGCACAAATGAGTGGACGGAGTGTTTTAATACGTCCACTTATTCCTCTTAGAATCTATTGATTTTTCGGTGGTTTTCTTCTTTCCTCAATGTTTGGTCAAATCTAATTTGGCTTGTATGGACAATATAATTATTGGCTTTTTGCATAATATTACTTAAGTTTTACAAATGGAAAAACAGATTTCCTTTATTTTGCATTTTTTACTATTTCATGATACAAGTAATAAAACTTCGAGGGGTCGATGTTGGGCATTTGGCTTTGGTTTTTAAAGCAGGTGTACCTTTCTTAATTGAACAACTCCCAATGAAATCGTAGAGCCAAATTGAATTGATTTATTTTTTTAATAGTAGTCTGGATTGACAGCATCGAATTTTATGACTTCGAAATTTGGTGTTCTCCTGTGCTCGCTAACGAGAACGCACTAATTCTACCTAATTTACTCCAGTCTATACGAGCGCTTTGTTGTCGGAGCAGGCGATAAATGAGACAACAGACAACCTTGAAATTTGCCATTTCGTGGAATTAGTGTTTTATGAGCCAACTAATTGTTAATCGATGTTCCCAGAAAATGGGAAGATAGACCACATATCGCTGTTTTTTTCAAATTCTATTTAAACTTAAAAATATAAGTTCACAATTCAAGACTCCCGACACTCCTGTGGCTTTAAGTGTCACTTAACAATTCTTAGCTGTTTTAACATCGCTCTGGGCGTATATACTTCCGCGACGTTCTTTCGCTTGCTTTAGAATAGACGGGTTTGTTTCCCAGATTCATAGTGTGCGAATGACTGACGTGTTTTGATAATTAAGTTTCTTTAAATCCTCTTTGGGAGTTATTCCCTTCGTACGCTCCAGTTGCTAGTCTTTTTTTGGAAGCTTCTTTTTTTGGGCAATTTACAAGATATATGTTCCTTTCTCTGCCAACTGATGCAAGGTATCCAGAGCACTTTTTATAAATGCAACAATCCACGGTGTAATATTTCAGTTGAATTGATTAACTTCTCGATCATCTGTTTCAATTCACAAACCAAAATATTAGTATTCTTTTACATTTGTGAAACAGTATGCCACTGTTCATTGTTTGCTTCTTAATTACTAAGTATACCATTTTCTTTCTTTAGTATCTCCAGTCACAGCTAAACTCTATGAATATCACAGTTCAATCGTCGACTCCTGTGTCATCGGCCACAAATGTCAGCAATCTGGACAGCCAGTCAGTCAATATGATGCGACGCTGCATTCGAGAGTGCTCGCTCAAACATTCGAGCCACCCAACTGGTGCTCCGGGTAATAACAAGCATCCCCTGCAATTCCATCCCGCATCGGCATCGTCTACTACCCACCATCACTTGCAGTCAGCTGTCGGGCAGATTGGCAGTGGTAGTGGTCAGAGATCAGGAGGTGTGGGTCCAGTGGCCACTACAGCCACTATGCTCATGAGAAATGCAGCTGCTGCGGTTGCCAGTGGTAGTGCTGGTGGCCCACAGCAACAACAACAGTTGACTATGCCAGCGCCTTTGATTCAGAAGAATCCTTCGCATATCGCTGCTTTACAAGTGAGTCGGATTTCTTTTTTAACATTTCGTCTCCCTCTTTCAGATCATTAGATGCTATATACTTGTCACTAGTAGATTGAGTTTAGTTTCTGACTACTTATATTCGCTGTTGCTGTGATTGCGCCCTGTCTAAGAGATTGACTTTAAATTATTCTGATAGACTCGGTTCTTGGCAGTTAAAAAGTAAGAATGAAGTTCTTGTTCGAATGTCTATCTCTTATACCATACTATTTTGCGTTTTGAAAGTGCTATTTTTGTGAACTAACTTGAAGTCGTAATACTAAGATTCCTTACCCTGTATTCACATGATATGTGGTTGAAGAACCACGTGAAGACTCTATTTTTGTTGTTGTGGAAAGTACTATTTTTCCCACCTGAGGATTAATGTTAAAGAATATTTTCACTTGTTAGAATTATAATAATCGTTGGAATATCGGTTTCCATTTTTCCAAACCTCTTTTCTAAACAACTTGTTTTAATACGACTGATTTTCATTTGAACTTTCCGAAATCCCGAAGCTTCTTGTATTATGGCTGCCTTCCAATTGAGGTTACTAGTTTCAGAACTGTACTTTTAGTTAATTGGTACTTTACATCCTTATAATTATATGCTGAATAAGTGTGAGTCGTTGACACTGTGGAAATATCTCCCGATAAAGAATCGAACCATCAAGAAAGGGACCATAGCATATAAATATTACTCGGGCAAATTTGTTTTTAAGTACAATATCGCTTCTGGGAAAATTGTTATTTTTTACTGCGCACAAGTAAGTAATTGTTTACGGCGGTCGAGCAATTCGTGTTTATAACCAGCATATTCGGACCCACTCATTGTTTTGTCACAATTGCAGAAAAAATCATTGAGTAAACTCAACGCTCAAACTATGGGGAACAGGTCTTAATGAATCTAGTCTTGGTACAATCTGCCTAGAAATTGACCACAGTCTCCATATTGTGGAAATAAATTGGAGCACTTGCATCGGCATAGCTTAGAATGATGAGTAAAGATTAAGGCATGTGTTTGTGTGTATGTGTGTGTGTGTGTCTTTATCGAACGTTACCACCTATATTTGCCTTGAACTGGCTGTAAACTGGACCATGGCCTTATGTGTGATTTTGAATCTCTCAGCTTTTATTGCTCTTCTTTCTATGTCTTAGTGTGTGGCACGTTGGAAGTTGAAATGGTTTTTTTGTTTTCCTTTCTAACGGTTACATGCTTTACTCTTGCCTACTACAGGAGTGTAACATAAGTCCAGACAATCTCATCACTCCAGCAATGGTGATCAAGAATAAGGAAGAACGCGAGACGCGTCAACGCACAGAGGCTGCCAATGCTGCGAACGTGGTGGCCGCTGCCTCTGCCTCCCTAACAGGAGCTGGCAACGTCGCTTCAACATCTTCAACTGTCACTGTCATGGCGACACCAGCAGCTCCTGCTGCCTCCACTACAGCTGTAGTTGTCGGCCACCCACAGACTGTATCCTCTGCCGCTGCTGCTGCTGCTGCCCGGGGTATACACCATTCGCAGCAACAACACCCCACGATTGTCACCATCTCTGGCACTGGTCAGGCTTCCGGATCGACTTCTGGAACTGTCACTGGGGCTGCTATTCCACGATCTGCAAACATCTTGGTGAGCTTTAGCTCTCTAATCGATTTTTAGCGGGTATTATTTGTCCAAATTGAGCTAGATCCATTTGATAAACTTGCTTTCCATTTGGATTTTGTACTTAATTTCGAATTCACAGTGCCTCATATATCTCCCTTCTGTTACTGGACTGCCGACTACAACCATATCAAGTGGATTTTCTAGACGACTTCACTCTTTTTCTACTCAAAATATTCGCGTTTAATCGCTTCATATACTCCTATGGTTTGGTAGAGCGGGGTTGGTCATTTAGTGTATCTGTGATCAGAATTTTGTCACTTCAAATTTTACGGTTAAAGTTTAGTAATGAGAATATATCAACTAGTAGTCGAAAATTTCAATCAAATACTATAACACGATTGCAGGGGTTCTCAATGAATTTCAATCATTGTATGATTTTCATTGAGTGTTTTACTGCCAAAGGAATCCCTCTTCAAGTTATCTCCATATCGTTGCATTTACCAGTCCGATCTTCTAGGTAATCCGTTCTTTGTCTCGAGCCATTCGATCTTCATTGTATTTTTTCTGGGGTCTTTGTGAAGCGTCCCAGGTGATGATCGGCTGAGTTCCATGGGTGGGGGGGGGGGGGGGGGGGGGGGGGGGGGGAGTAGGAGAAGATATGCTTACATCAATTTTTCAGAAATTGCTCAATAGCTACACACGTTCACCTTTATGGTAAACTATACTCCTTAATTATACAAGTTACAATATGATAGAAAATTAAATTGACCATAAATTGTCATTTTTATCCAACATTGCTCTGCTGACTGTTATTTTAGCCATTCTCCGCGTCGTCATCAGTCAGCTACCATGGAGGAAGTAGTGGTTCGCCAACAGTATTCCGCTACACTACTCCAAGCACCCCTGGTCGTCAGGTTGCTACCACGGCAGCCACTACAGGTATTCTACGTCGTGTAACGGGTCCAGGCGGTACAGCCCAATCTGTATTTGCAGTTACTCCTGCTGCTGGGACCGTCATTTCGGTTAGTTTTGCACTTCTACTAATATCAGACTTAGTAGCATGAATGTTGTGTTATTTCACCATTTTAAGTAATGAGCTTAGAGTGAAACTTGTTCATTTCTATTACCTCCTCTTTCACTTCCTACCGCATTACTCAGGCTCGGTAAATGGAGAGTATGCTAGTTATTTCCATGTAATTAGCAGGTGCTGTCTTCCCCTAGAATTACTGTCTTTGCAATCGGGTATCTACATTTTCGGCTTGTGAGTTCATCAGCGATAGTCAATGGTGACATGCAATCTTTAATGAAAAGTTTAATTTGTGCGTAAATAAAAGGATGGGATTATGAGAAAGGGCTTTATACATTAATCCTATGTTAGTAAGTTAGACCATTTTGATAGCACTTCAATTCAATTTTTATGTCCACTTTGTTTTCCTCCCCCCTTTAGTTATTTCAGCGTATTTATGCACGTGCAAATATGATAAGGGTAAAGTTCGTCCTAGTCGGTGCATTGCTAAACTCCTTTGGCACGCTATTTTTAGCTCCGCCATGCCCCTGTCATGAGTTGTGCTTAGATATGTGCTTTAACAGACAATACTTGCTATTGCTCTCGTATCCCCTGTCAGAGGTCTGACATTTACCATCAATCGGGTTATCTACAATGCTCGAAATTACCAATTCCACTGCCTGCTGATGGCCAACTTATATATGTCGGATCGCTGTTTCTCAAGTCTTGGAGGTTCCCCGATTTGGTCTTTCCCCAACTAAGTTGTTTTGCGAAAATGCTTTCCTTCAATGGACCTAGGGCTTATAAAGGATTTTTGACATTGCAAAGGCCATAGTAGTAGAAATAAACCATAAATTTTTCAGTCTTACACCTCTTTAGGAAATATAGCTGTATGTCGACCGAATATACCCTGTACATGGCTGTTTCGATCCACTTATTGTGTAAAAGTAGGTATTTGCTGAGAATCTTTCTTACACCGGCTTTTCTTTCCACAGAACACCGGTGGAACAACAGTTATGCGCCGAAGTGTGACATTAACTCCAGCTGGTTCATCACAGTCACAGAGTAGTAGCGGTGGTGTGAATGCGGCTACTGGAGGAAGTGGTGGTGTCACAGTTCTCGCCGCCGCTAGTGGTACGCGTCCCGGTTCAGTGATCTATCATCAACATCACACTCAAGGCACTACTGGAGCTCCCACCGGAATAACCCTTTTGCCCGCTGCAAACGCTCAAGGCCTTCCGCAGATCATTCGACCTCGACAACAAGTGAGTTACTGAGACATATCCCTAATTATTGAAGGATTATTCATCTTTATTAGTATCTAGGAATTATCACATATGACCTCTCTCCTATGCAGTTTGAGTGTTAGGGAAAGAATCCCACGAAATATGAAACGGTGGAGGAGTCATGAATCTCACTTCCTTTAATTCAGCAGCATTGAATACAGGCTACGAAATAGTGGATGTGACACTACCCAGTGACCTATGAATCAATAAATGAAGATTGAGTGTTTGCACATTTCGAATTGAACCCTTCCCATTTAAGCACTGCCTTTTCAAAGAAGTGTGCATATTATCAGAACAAATTGTTGCTTATAATTTAGTATCGTTTCACTGGTTTAGAAATACTCAGAAACCTAAAAGCTCTTCAGCGATTTGAGATTAGATAATATTATTTCTTGTTCTAGTTCCGACCCGGTGCGCCATTACCCGCGCAGCGTTTTGTCCGGACGTTCTCTGCCACTGGTGCGTCCTCGTCTCCCATTGGTGGTTCAGGCTCATCTGGATCGACGCCCCCAACAACGACCCTAGTCCACCGGACACGTGATGGTCTCTATGCCTCACCCGCCCAACATCAACAATCACAACAGCGAGGCAACGTAGTTGTTTCCGAGTCCCAAATCCTCCTTCAACGCATCCCAAGTAATGCTCAACGGCGCCATGGTGGCGCTATTACTACTCATCCAAATTCAGTAGTTGCTAGACATCAATCACAGCAACAGCAGCCACCTTCAAATCCAAGATAATTCTCTCCTCCCACCCTATCATGATGCTTCTTCCATCATGTTGTTTTATTTTTCTCTCTTCTCTCATTGTTTGCATTTATTTCCCACCCCGCCTCCCTCATACTCTCAACATACGCCGAATGATGTGGCAATACTCGTCCTTTTATACTCTTAATGATATTAGTAGTGTAGGATCGTCTGTGTGTTTGCGTGTACGTTGAGTTCAATATTTTGTAAATGTCCTAGTCAAATCAATGTTTATAAAGTACAGTAAATTCTTATTCCAACTGATATGTTGTTGCTTTTTGTTTTGCCTTCGGTGTTTAATCGAAGTCGATTTAATAGGGTCTAAAGTAATTTAGGAAAAAAACTAAGATTGGGAAGGATGTGTACTAAGTTAATATTACAATGTTGACAATGTTCCCGGACATTTTTATGGTTAGTTTTTTTTCAATTCTACAACATATAGTAGCCAAGAGAGCTCGTATGCGCGTATATACGTTTGCTCTGTCGAGAATCCTTCACTGAACATCTTAGGGAGGCGTTTATCTCCCTCATCTAATTCCATTTCACAGAAATGAAGAGAGTGAGTGAAAATGCACACGGTGATGCATGCAAACTAAGAGGAGTGGGCTTGACGAAGTTGCCTTTAAAATTGTACTCGGTTTTTGAAGAAGATCCAAACGTTAAAATTTATAGGAACTTGAAATTGATTACTTTGAAGTAGGGGGGTGGGAGGGGGGGGGGAGGGGGTGGGGCATATTCTCAGTATTGGCAGTTCGATTGGAATTTCGTCACGTACATAATTTCGTGAAGTTTGCTCTTTGAATATTTGGTTTGGATCGTTATATGCACATCATATAAAGTTCACTTAGTAAACAACTTGATCTGCCAAACGTTACGTGATATAAAAGGAAAATTCACGCGCACGATCGTGCCTACTACCCATTTGTGTTCAGTACCACTGATACTTTTTCCCTGAAATGCATACTCACTAAGCTAATTCGTCTGGTTTTTGTTTCGGGCTAAACTTCTCAGATATTCTATAATTTCAAAAACCAATTTACCAATATCTATTGTGCTCCCAATAGAATGAAGTGGTTAAAAGTTTCTACTTCATGCATTTAAGTAGAATTTGTATGTTCTTGGGGCGGAAAACGAGCGTTATTGTAAGAGTTCAAAATCTTGAACAAGCTCAGGAACCATATTCAAATTTCTAAGCTTGCTAATTAACAAATTGTCATCTTTTCTTCCTTAATTGGCAAAGTATAAAGCAAAGCTCGGTTAATTCGCTTAAGTTCGTTTAACAGAGGGGTTTTCAAATAATTATTAACATGTCCACATATTTTTTTACCATTTTAGTCTTCCCATTGACTTTGATTCCAGAATTGTATTACTGATACATATCCTGGAAGTTAATCGATTGCCGATCTGTCATAGCAATGGGAGGCTTACTCTAACCTTAGCTATCGTAAATGCGCTGAAAATTTAACTGGAGCTCAAGATTAACCATTTTTGTTAGAAAAAAATTGGCATTTGTTCAAGCTCTGCTCTGAAGCCACTTTCATTTAAATGATATTCATATAAAGCCACCTCGATTTTGCGACATTAGTGGGATTAACTGAGTATACGAAAGCAAGGAATGAGGTCTAGAACATAACGCTAATTATTTCCCATCTAAGAGAATTGTGAGTTTCGCATTGACCTGAAAAGTGGATAATCCTAAGGTGTATTCGAGATTCGACGTTAAAAAACAGTCAGAAAACTGATCAAGAGAATGCTGCTCTTTTTACATTTGCTTGACAAAGTTTTGAGAAGCGTTCAACAGTGAAACTTGAGATGCTTACTAAGTCGTTCTCAGGCTTTTCGTTACTTCTCAATAATTCTCACTCTCTTTCTCTCTCCATGAGAAAGCAGGTGCACTTTATGAGAAGATTATTCTGCCATAAATACGCAGATAATTAGACTGAATAAGTCTTTTGGGTGTGCTAAATAAAAGGACTGAAGCTATATTACATGGGTTGATCAATTATCTTCCAACTCAAACACATTAATTATATTTACCATTTGTCCAGGCAATTATTAAATGCTACCCTAGATTAGATCCACAGTCCTCAAAATAATTTGTTTAAACACGTTGCTCAATTATACATAAGTTCGACTACTTATAGGCATTGCTTTCTTAAGCATATGTTCTCCCTGTAAATTGTAGCAGGATTCATATTTTAAAGCGATTGGGCGAATCACTCAGTCCATTGGGATGCTTTTTTATTCGAAAGAAAAATATTGTCAAGTGTTTTATTACCATATGTAGTTTTCTAAATTTAATAATATTTTGAGCACCCCATTTTTTTAAATTTTATGTGTTTTAACTATGCCAATGACTGCTTTTTATTAAGGAGTCATCAACACATAACCACAGGGATCATGGGTTTTCGAACGATTTGGAACGGCCTCTGCCAAATTCATACGCGGTGGGAAAATAGATTAAGAATCCGGATAGGTAGTTCAGTAAAATCCTCTTTTCATTATTATTAGTATTTCAAATGGCAGGCTTTGTGATATTTATCATTAGCCCTTAAACTTTGACTTCAGCTTTCCCCATGAGTGGGGGTACATATATAGCATCCTCTATTCATCGTTTCAGCGTAATGTCATATTCTCTAACAAATAGTAAGGGCTAGTTTGTGCTTGAGAGTGACTACACATTTGTCTTGTTTTCTTTCTCTGTGCCTAGAAATATTTAGTATTGAATATACCATAGCAACAGAAATAGATCGCTCCCAGAATCATGCTAGAATGAGTGACCAACGAAAAGGTTATAAAATGGGTAAAATGGGTTAATAATTTGTAAATGAGCAATAAAGTGGAAGTGAATTTCAATAGAGTGACTATCATTTATTTATTTCTTGATTATTACATGTTAGCTAAAGACTATATATGCTTATATATCACTCTCCCAAATTAACGCCATTTGAAATGCCATTTACTTGTGTTAAGAAAACGAATTTTACATCAATAAAAAACTGTAGATGGCCGTACTATGAATTTACTTGCCAAAATATGTGCAAATAAATCTCTTCTAAGCTATTAAACTGTCGAGTAGGTATCTACGCGGCAGCAGCATAAACTCGAACTGTTTTCATCGATCTCTCCACTATCTTCGCAACAGCAACAACAATGCACTTCGTTATCGCTCGTCTCACTAATCGCTTAGCGTGACCAATCACAGTGCTTGACCTTGAGAGCACACTCGTTCAGAGCTTTGAGTAATGCGTTCGCATTTATTATACACGCATGCTAACTCACCAATGATAGCGCGCACGAGTTCTTAGGACTGAGCGATATCAACATGAACTAAAAGGGACAAGAAAAGGAAACGGAGCTATAAAAGTAACAGCAGCGTTTATGCTCTCCCACACACGCACACACACACTCTCTCTCTCTCTCACCAGCGGACATTAATATCAGCATGACGGCAATAATGACATACTTCTCTCAGAATTTATCTTCTAGCCTGACTTTATTACTGCTTGAAGGGAGGCAATTTTAGGAAATGAAATTTCATAAATTATTTATAAGGAAATAAATCTCCATAACTTGGCCTTTTCAGCCAAAAAACTCGAGGAGTCACAATTGGCTTCATCTTTTCATCAAAGGAACACATGAATCATATCATGCTTCTCGAATGTCAACAAACGTCAAGTTTTTATTCGAATGTTTTTCCATTCAAGCTATATAGGTTCTTATGCTTTTTTGTGCATCCACACTGTGGTACAAGTGAAAGAAATGAGAATATTATTTTTTAATTAACAAAAATAGATTTTGGCAACGATTCACGAGAAGAGGAAGAAGAATTTAATTCAGGTATCTTTCGAAATATTGAAATTAAACAAATAGCCATTATTGGGCATCCACCTTTGTAGGAGCTGAATCACCAGTTTGTTCCACAACAGTGATAGAAATGTGTGGTGGGGGGGGGGTAGGAAGAGGCTTTCCCAGGAAATGAAGAATCCCAGAAATAAGCCCCTTTATGCCTGACGCAAACACTTGGTGCGCGATAATTCATGACCCCGTTGTTTGGACAAAGGAAGAGTTAAATAAATCTCTTCATAGCTATGAGTGTGGTTATGTTAGATACCTAGTTCCTACTGTTTAGTTCACAAATTAGATTAACTTTATGTGTGGAAATCCGCATTTACATTAATAAAACGCTCCGTTTCGAAGAAAGTTAAAATAAAGGTGGCATCAGCCTGTGAAGCTATGCGGTCAGTTTGAGACTTTAAGTCAATAGCTCTTAATAACAATGAAACCATTTCAATGAAAACCCGACCCCCACTCACTTTCAAACAGCATTTTAACTATGAAATTTTCACCTTCTTCTCTTCAGGTTTTCCTAAATGTATGGGGGAACGCAAAAAAACGAATTTTCAATGATATAAAGATCTTCTCTATGCTCTCATAAACTATTAATGCTTAACCAAATGAATTATTACCTAACTGATGATTAGATACGGTTACCGTAAGCTTATTTAGCTTATGCAAGGAGTTTTACTGCCAAGTGTTTGATTTTCATTTTAAGTTATAGTACTTATCCACATTTTGTAAATTTGTAAAAATAGGGATTATTCTTGCATTAAATTATTATACAATTCATAGCAAAGTCAGTGAAACTTGGATTGCTACAAATTAAAAATCAATTGAAAGATTTTAGGAGAGTAAAGTTCATCTTATATATCCATAACCAGTAAGCACAAAATTTCACTTAATAATTAAACCATTCTCACCCAGTTGTTTAAGCTAATTGCATTTGCAAATACCAATTTATCACTGTTATTATTGAACAAAGGAATGAACAAAAAGTTGAAGGCCTAAGTGAGGGCAGTAAATGATACCAGATCACAAAGAAAGTAAACGGAGGAGGGTGGGGGGAGGGCGGTTGAAAAGCTGGCGAGGGAAACATCAAAAGCGTCCATCCCCTGCATTTGCCAAACTTATCCAGTGTGCTGGAACATTCCACC